TGTTGTTTTGCTCAGTTAACATTTCTATTTTTAAATCTTTTTGAATAATTAATTTAACTAATTGATCAAAATTTTTTATATTTATTAAAACTATATTATTATTATTTATATTAATTTTAATATTAATTTCAATTAAATCATTTTCAATTAATTCATCTTTTTGAGCTTCAATTAATTCTATTAGATTTAAATTTATAGAAGTTGTAAATTTATTAATTGTAATTATATTACTTAAATTTGTTGAAATATTTGATTCACTAGTTTCAGCTAAATTATTAATTTCTATTAAATCTGTTTCCATTGAATTATTCACTTCAATATTTCTAGTTATTGTAGATATTTGACGTCGATAAAAATCTACAATTTTCATATAACACTCATGACATAATTTATCAACTCCAACTTTAAAACTTTCATAATATCCTTTATCAGGGCAATTATCAATTTTAAATCTAAGATTCTTAGTAACACTTCTAGAAAACATAATAATTTTTAAGCAAAATGAAAAATTTCGTTGAATAATTTCTTCAGACATTTTTAAAAAAATTTTATAATTAAGAAGTTTGTAAATATATTAAAAATTTTTTATAAAATTATAAATTTCTGTATTTATATATTTATTTTAAATTTATTATATAATAAAATCTATTTTTATAGTAATTCATGATTATAAACAATTTTACAATTTTGTAACTATTTAAATTAGATAAACATTCAACAGAATAGTTATCTTGGCACTCAAGTTATGGCAGCCAAGAAAAAAAAAATTATATTTAAAATTAGTATTGTTTTATATACTAAAAACAACATAATTCTCTTTACACATGATCTGCATCTACAACTCTGCTAAGAATAGATATTGATATTGGTAAACTCTTTGTTTCAATAAGAAAATAAAGCTAAGATCGCTCTCAAGCATCAATCTCAATGTGATTTGCAAGTGATCATAATAGTACTCAAGCATATGAATATGCAATTTATGACATAATTGTAATATTTTTAAGTATCAATTTCAAAAATTAAAAAAATAAAAAATAAAAAAAAAGCATATATCCAAAAGAAAGTAACAGATGTTACTGATTATCGAAATTCTAGTGAAGTATCAACTTCGGTAGTTTCTAGTACTCTATTCACTGATTTCACCAACTATAATGACAGGATAGTTTAATTTGTTGACATTTGAGCGAAAGCCAAGAGATGGTAAGTATTTGATATTGTTTCTTGGGCTTCACAATTTTTTTAATTTTCCATAAAAATTTTAATGCTGAAATAAGATAATAATTTGTTGCTGTCAAAGATAATGGCCCGCTTGAGTGATCTCTTTGATTACTCTATTGATCGTAAAATCTTCAAAGACAGGTATGAAAAATTCATCCAATGTCTTTTACTAATAATAAAATATTTAAATTTTAATATTTTCTACCAAGTAAAATTTATCTCAGACACTTTTTGACTCATTGATTGATGCACTTGAGAGCGACCAAGGTCATTCATTATCTAATAACCAGATTAATGGATTATATCCACCAAGTATTTCATTTGTTCAATTAATCTTTATAATAATCAGTGCCAGGTTTGTCAGTTAGGGATGAAAAAAAAATGGTTTAAATGGCTTTTTAGATTTTAAACTATACAGAAATTTTATAATTGAAAATCTGAAAACAATGTATGTATGTACACTATTTTTGCGTTACAGACAAGTCGGATATTTTAAATTCAATGGCAATTTAAAAAACCTTTTAAAACATTGGCACTAAAAACTAAAGTTTAGTTGGGCTAAAATGCCAATTCTAATTGGTTAGTTAAAATCACCAAGTTTCATAGAGATAACTTTTAAAGAAAAAATATTCAATTTATAAACTTTCATTCATTATCTTTATTTGAACCGAAGCTTGAATATTAACATTATTTAATAAATATTTTATACTTTTTGGAAGCTTTTTGCTATTATATAAGTAATCCTTTAATCGTGCGACTAAGGGCGTTCTCAAGTAATTCACTCAATAGATCGGAGGTAAATTTTTAATTGGTATAAAAATAGCCACTTTATTTTTTATGTTTGAAGCTTTTAAAATAAATAATCAATATATTAATATAATGCCGTATGTATAACTATTAATTATTAGGGCATAAAATATTGCTATTTTGTGACAAAGAACATTTTGCTTAACCTACTGTTACATGAACTTATATTTTTTTTAAAAAAAGTAATTCCTAAAACTAACTAAAGTTTATCAAAAAAATCTCCAATTCTTCCTCTCGATTCGGAAAGTTAATAAAATTGAAATTTGAACTCTAAATATAATTATCACTAAATAGATACAATAATCTTTTAACATTTAATCAAACCAAAATGAATACTGGTTTTCCATTTTTCACTCATTTAAATTTAAATCTTCTTAATAAAGAAGACCTTAAACTGAAAAGTTTGGGTAGATGGTTTCCATACTTGGAGGAGTCGACGTAACTAAAGTTGAAACTTTAACTATTGATTGTAAAGAAATTTTTTTCATTAGGTTTTTTTGGTAGTAAGCGAACATTACAAAAAACAGAGTATACTCAAGCATTTAATTCTATAAAATATTGTGATGCTTAAGCATTATCACGATTATTATCTGATCAATTGATTTAGATGCTTAAGAACAGCCTAAATCCACAAAGTTCTCTCTACAGCAGTTACACATTTGCGAGTGTATTCGACCAAGTTTGTCAATTTTCAGAACTTTTGTAAAGTTCAAGCGAATTTCTTTTAATTAAGGTCTCCCACAGAGCATAATTGCTTATAGAAACCTTGTCTCTTCACGATCCTATATAATGAGCCTTGATTACTAAAAAGTCAAAAAAAATACAACTAGAAAAACTATAAATAAAACTCAAAAAAGATAAAGAAAAAACAATACTTATAAAGTTTCTTG